GGGTCTCCATGTATGTATGGTGGAGTCTAAATGCTTATAAATCATGAATACAATACCCTGAAGACATGTTCAGTGCACATTTTTATGTAAACCATTTTTATTTAAACCATCAGCTTCACCAACTCAGCTTTGGCTAGAATCTTTCTTATATTCATGTCATGAGTAATAGTAACTAAGTGTTATTTAGATAACAGTTCTGCTTCTCATTATTACATAACAGAAAACCTACTGTAGAAAGATTGTTTTTACCATTTTTTTCTTATTATTATGTTCAGTTGGTAAAGGCAGCAGCTGAGACTTAGAATACACTCTGTACCCTCGGAGAGCCCTGTTGTCTTCAGCAGGTCGCAGCAGAAATCCGCTTGTACACAATAAGATACAGGGATGTGGTCCTACACAGGATTTTTAAAAACTATGATTACCTTCTTATCAAGTGTGGTGAAGACCTATTCCTTCTCTCAGCAGCATCAAACGGATTAAGAACAGAGGCTTAGTATTATATATGTGATTCCTTTAAGGAACCAATGGACAAGTGGAAACGAATTCCTTCTTGATTTTAAGTTGAATTACCTGTGCTTGTGATGTTTTTTATTAGATGTGCTGAGAACACCATTGTGTCCACAGCTCTTCAAAGAACTTCAGTTTAGTTTTGCCTTTCTTCTTACCAAAAAAATCAAATCTTTTTCTCTTTGCCTGCTGTCTTGCAGGAAAGGACTTGATGCACATGCATACTTGCAGATGTGTAGGTGTATTTTGTATGGATTTGACTTTCAAGACATTATCCTGTTTTTCTGCTGAGTAACTGTGGAGAATTCATTGAGTAACTGGGCCCTCTATCTCAGGACACTATCTGAAATTTGATGAAAAATTAAATTAACTTCTCTAAGGAATGGCACAAATATATGCATTCTGCCTCAAAATGATGGAAGTGTTGGGGGAGGGTTAGCTGGGGGTGTTATTTGTGATGCAGGTAGGCTTTAGCATGAATTCTTTCATATGCCACAGCCCAAAATAGTTGTATTTATTGGGCTCTTTTTATCTTTCTATGCCATAGAGCCAAGAACTGAAAGTCATTAAAATACTATATGTCTAACTTAAAAACACAAGCAAATGATTAGAAGCTGTGGGCATCTGATGAAACACAATTGAGCTGAGGGGACTTAATGAGTTACTGATTAGACCTTAATTTCTGTAGCTCATTCTTAGCCTGCACCAGTCATGATATAAACCACGGTTGCTTAATTCTCCTTCACTGCGATTTAAGCTAATATTCTCTTCTTCCTTTGGAGTGAACTGAGAGCCTGTTACCGTGTCTCAGCTGGTAAATCCATCAGCTGAGTGTGACCCTGTCCCAGGCCCCAGCATACTGGGAGTCTCTCTGCTGTGTGTGCTGTCCAAGGGCCCTGGCCAGTGGGAGCCGTGCATATCTGCTTGTGTGTGTATGCCTGTGTGCACTTTAATTTTTATCAGTGCAGGGTTTTGATTCTGTATCAGTGTGAAGAAGTCGTGGTTGAGTTTCTTCTCAAGGAGCTTTCCGATGAAAGGCACTTTGTCATTTTCCATTTTGGAGTTTGTGTTATAAATCATCTTTTGACTGGTTTCTCCTTTGTGGTTCCTGTCTGAAGTTTTAGTCCAATCATATACTTTAAGAATCATCTCAAAATTATTTTCTTTATCCTTTGGAAATTCAATTCTTAGATCCTTCAAGGTCAGTAACACTGTTAACCTATTAACAACCAGCCTCCAACAAGGATCTGGAAATAGTTTGAGCTATTCCAACTTGACAGTATACAAGCTGGTTTTATTTTGTGTTTATTTTTAAAACAGTTAGAGAAGTCTGGAAAAAAATAATGCATTAGTAAAAATGGTTCATTGTAATTACACTTACCTCTTCTATGATTTTATCAGTGATTACGTAAGATAATCTGTCTATGATATTTATTTGGAAGCCTAAGATGACTATGTGATGGATGTTTATTTTCTAACATTAGGAACTGACTCTCCAGAGCCCTACATTTTGGGTTCACTACGTTTATAAAATGGAGGTGAATTAAAATATATTTTTCTTTTCATACCATACACTTTTCATCTGAAGTATTCATTTTTCCTCTTTCCTGTTGTCATTTTACACTCTGTTTCCAGAAGAAGAAAGAAAACAGAAAATTCTTTATCTATTTCTAGACTTTAAAGATTAATATTTATTTGTCAGTCCTTTCCTTTCTGTGCTGTCTTTGAAACATCATTAAACATTTGAAGCTGGTACATATGGTTTGGAGAAAGAAATGCAGATGTTTAACCAAAAGATTTAAGTTTCTGAAGTAAAGGGAAAAAAAAATTCTTTCAAAATCAGATCTATATTTTCTCTTGCTATGTAAGGAAATCCCTTATGATTCTGGCATCTGTGGAAGAGGAGGAAGCTACATAATAATGTTTTTAATAGATTTTGTCAGTACTTTGTCCTACTTTTCATTTTTCCCCTTTTAGAAACACAGATCCAATGAGATTTTTTTTAACTAACTGCATGTAGGAAGTCCACATTATTTTTCTGTTTGTTTGTGGGTCATTTTTATTTTCTCTCCACCTTTATCTCTTCGGGAAATGGGAATAAAGATTGAGGTCTTTTGTATTTTTCCATTTGATAAATCTGTGATGGACCTTGCTGTGGTAGTCAGATCTTCTAAGGAACAGCATCTGCATTTCCACAGCGTTTTATGTCTGCACAGTTTACCAGAATGCTGCCATTTCACATATCCAGCAGTCCACACACACAGCTGATTCCTTGGAGTGACAGGAGAAAGTCTAATAGCAAGTCTGCCTATGGTAAACGTGAGCTAGGTACACAGGGACAGAGGTGGTGCAGACTTGTCTCCTTGTTCTGCACAGCCGATATTTACCTGCTGCCTTGTGTGCCATGTTTTCAGGTAGATCCCCCCACTGGAAGTTTCAACATGGCCACAAAATCTCAGTGGTGCTGAAGAAATTCATAGTCATCCAAAAAAAAAAAGTACATTGGCATGTTGGAAGTGAAGATTCACACAGAATAGCCATTTATCCAGCACAGCCCCACAAGCAAGTTTTGATGGAACTACTGAGTTTTTCACCAAAAAAAAAAACCCAAACCAAAATGTACTTGATGTATGATAGTGCAGTTTCCTTTTAACCTTAAGTTTCAGCAGGAATATTAGGTATTCTACTTTTTAATATAATTAACTACTGTGCTGTAATATTCCTTTATAATTGTCATACTTAACTCTATGATTTCCTACTGGTTGAATGACTTGCGTCATCCCGTGTATTTTTTTGCTTGCTGAATCCCCACTGTTAGTATACTAGAAGCTTGTATAGTCTAGACTCTTTTTGCTACTGCTTTGCTATTCTCATTTACTGTTGTTCAGCTGATGAAAATAAAAGCTCTGTGCTCAGAGTGGGCATTTTTGCTTTGTTACCTGTTTAACAGCACTTAGGGTGTAGCAGGTCTTTTGCTGATACCCCTAATAGACTTCACACAGACCTACATAACACTGCTTTATGCCTCATGTTGGTCTTTTTTTATATAAATGACAGTAGTCAAGAAAATACTTCTTAATGAAAACTTAAAAGCAAAGGCAGTCTGAGATTTCATGAAGTTCCTAATACAGTTTGGCCTTCCATTTCTTTCTTCAACACATTGTCACCATTAGAATATTATGTTTTGGGATTCTGGGAACTCTTCTGTGGTGTTGGTTTGCTAGGGATAAATTTAGGATAGCAGAAAATGAGTTCATTAAGATCTTGGGTGATGTAGGGCCAGAATCTCATTCTGTCAATAAATGTGTCAAATAAAATGATAGGCAAAATACTAAGACTGGCTATAAGATGGATAAATTGTGTGAAAGGAATCTTTGTTGTAGAGAGTAATTCAGTGGTTGATGTGAAATTCTGAACTTTAAAACTCAGAATTATATGGCTGACAAACTTCCCCAGGGTTATTTTAACAATCCCTATCTTAAAGTTCAATTTATGTCAGTAAGTACTATATAATTAACACTTTTTACATTTTCAATGCTGGTGTAAGTCTAGGCTGTCTTTTTAATGGCAAGTTTTCTTAATTTCAAAAAGAAAGTGTTGGTGTGGCAGCGGACTGTGGCATGAAAATTGAAAAACTCTCCCATAGCTATATCATGCAAGAACAGTGGTGAACAGTAGTTAATTATACATTTAGTACTTGATCTCAAAAGTGTTATTTTTTTTAAATGAATGGAGTGTGGCAGGTACACCTAATTCAATTAATCCACAGCATAACATAAACTGAGTAAATAGTCAGCTGTCATTTAATGAAACTATAAAGAAACAGACTGCTTTTTCTTTCTTTCTTTTGTACGTATGGTGTTGGCATTGTTGTCATCATTACTCCTGGTTAACAGCTTATACTTCAGCTGATATTTGTGACAGTGGGAGGACATAAACTAGAGTCATTATCAGTAGAACCAGGTCAAAAAGTTGTATGCATTTGGTTACAGGCAAAAGCCTACTAACAGGATGTCTAGGAATAGAGGGAAGAGAAAAAAATCAAAAGGTAGAAAATTAATGGAGGAGGCAGAGCTAAGCTGAAGAATGGTGTTTGTGATTAGAAGCAAAGTAGCTGAGAAGATGTCATAAGCATGCCACCAATTTTCACTACCAATACCCTAGAACGTTATAGCGTTTGCTGGTGTATATAACGAAACAATTTGTCTTTCTCCTCCTGCAAGCATACCATCCCAGTGAACAGTTTAGTATCTTGATAGAATTGCCCTCATGAATATTTTAACCAACTGAATATAACTCAGTAAACTGTCAGTGAGAAATGCAGCTTTCATTAAAACAAGGAGGTGAAACATAACAAACTCATTTCTTTTTACTGCTGACCAAAGTATTTTTTTAACTCAGGGCAATTATCTTGGGTATGGGAAGGGGAAATGCCCTAATAGATGTTTTCTGCTCTGTTCTAATCTATTTATACTTTTGCTTTTTAATCGTAGGTTTCTGTGCTCGAGAGGCAGATATTTGACTTCCTTGGTTATCAGTGGGCACCCATCCTGGCAAATTTTATACACATTATTATAGTCATACTTGGCTTATTTGGAACCATCCAGTATAGACCTCGTTACATAACAGGAGTGAGTATTTAATTTTATTTACTTTTTTTGATGTGCATGTTAAAAAAAAAAAAAAAAAAAAGTTTTCCAAAGTCTATTGCTTATAGATAAATAGGAATCTTATCTTAGTTTAACTTTCTTCTGTAATATTCTACATTTACTACAAAAACTGAAAGCCAATATGTTCACAAACTACATGACAATATTAACTTTCAAGAAGTGAAGTCAGTTTAAAGGATTACAGGATCCTCAGAATTACAGGGATTTAGAGCTAGAATAAATGCTAGCAATAACTTTCCTAGATACACTGGATCTTTCCAACAGATCTGTGATATATTATTGTTATTCATTACTGTTACTATCATTGCTGGAGTTATGTATATCCCTCCTAGAAATTACAGTCCAAGTTGAAAATGAAGTATGAGAATATGGTAAGAAATGCAAGTTTAGTGGTTACGGACTAAGAGCTCCAAAATAAAAGTAAGGGTTTGGACCTTTATATTTTTAATCCATTTCTTTTCCTTATTCAGCTACCCCTCATACACAGACTCAGTATTGCTGCACTCTGGTACAATTCAGCATTTATGAAATCCTCATTTCATACTCCAGGTTAATTTTTTTCTCCATTTGTAGGTCTATAAAGACAGAATGACAAATCTGAAAGTTGTCATTCAGAACACCTTTTGTTAGAAATATATTTGCATAACAATATTTCCATCAAACTTGACTATTAATTCATTTAAAGCTTGTATACTTTTCAGAGACAGACAGCAATCGAAAAGATTTGCCCGTACACAGCCATATTTTCATGTCAATGAAAATAACTCCACTGAATCTGTACCTGCTTCTGCAAAGTCTGTTTCCTCTTATACTGTTCCCTCATATACCAGTAATCACTCAGGAGATAGAAAGGTTTTGCTTGTAACCCTGTGCTACCATCCATATTGCGGTAGTGTGATGCTAACAATACATTAACATTTATGTCTGTATTTGTATCTCTGTGATTTCTTATATACAGAAAATGCGTGTCTACATGTATAATGTATTTATGCATGCACTCAATTTAACATATTCCAAAACACATATTATCAACATTGAAAAATATATTGCAAGCCTTAAATATTTAGAGGGTTTTCTTCAAGTCAAAAGTCTGGGAGTCACGTGAATGCAAACTGGAGTTTTCTTCTTCCATTTCTAGTGCTTTGGACAGTCAAAAAAAAAATTCAGGCAAGTGTCAGTTAAATAAAAAGAGTAAATATTCCATCCCAAGACCATTCCAAGGTATAAAAATGAGCATGAGCATAAAATGCATATTTGAGCTAAACAAAAAAGCTAGATTTAAATGGCCTTTCCAACAGGAGTACAGAAAATTGCCTGCTACAATGGTGAGTGCTTTGTGAATGGCAAGGAATACCAGCCTTATAAATCAGTACCATTCACATTAGTTTCTGGATGATATGGTTTGTGCCACACCATCCTACTAATTTTCACACAAATCTTTTCTTAGAGCTCCCTCTCACCCTCACAGTGTAGCCCATCTGGTTTTGTGAATTTGCCTCCCTGCATCCTCTCACTGAATTGGATAGAACCAGTCTATGATCAAATGGTTTGTCTTGCTTAGATTTTATAATAGACACCTGAATATGCCATCTATCACAGACTGCTTAGATAAGGAAACAATGATGAAGCTTTCATCCTTCATTTAGTTGGATCAGCAGAGGAGTGCTGTGATTTTTTCATTTCCACTGCTTTCTTAGGAGAGTATCTAAAGTCAGGATGAGGGAAATAGCACTGGTTACTGGAGGAAAAGGTAAGGGAACTGCATCCTTTTGTTCAGTTCTGCTGGGCCCAGAATAGGCACCTTGTTAAAGCTGGGCAAAACTTAGTGATGTGATCTGACAAGGGGAGTAAAGTTATGAGTTCAAAGGCAAGAAAAAAGACAACAGCCTGTAAGCCTGCAAGGGTGTAGCTTTAAGGTTTTCAGGTGAGTGGATGTAAATACCCAGACTTCAATAGATTCTACAAGGGTCAATCTATCTTGACTGGACTCTATAGGACCCTTAATCCACAGTCACATTAGTACCTCAAGAAAAGCTTGCTTCAACAAGACTACAATAAATTTCCTTTTTACTGTGCATGCTTCGTAAAGATATCACAAAAAATGTTTTCTAGAGGTTGTGAATCATAGGTTAAAGAGAGCAGGAAGATTTTAAGGCAAGATTTCAAGAAATGATTCAGTAGTTTAGGGAGAAGATGAAATAAGTTTTAGACAGATGGGACACCACAAGTGAAAGTGTGTCCTTGAACTCCAAGAGTCACAGGGAAGTTTTGAAGTGAGTGAGGGGAAAAGGTGACTGTGTGGTTTCGGGCCTTGGAAAATAATTCAAATTACATGGGATGCAGGATTTGTGGTGGACAAAGGGGATGGGAAATTGAAATTTAATATTATCGGAGGGGTTAATCTCAATGTAGGTTTGGCAAGAACAAATTAATTTTTGCTTGTAAACCTGAATCATTAACCAATAAATAAGCAATTGATGCAGGAGGTGAAACATCTGTTTTGAGTGTGGGAATAAGTGTCCCTTCAAAGATATCTTCTCAAAAGATAATAATTAAATAAGCCTTTTTTTGTGAAAAAAATATTGATAAAAGGACTTCTTAACAACACTATGCTGAAACAGAGAATAAGGGTTTCAGTAGGAAGAAAGGTTACCCAGTGTAATGACTGAGATGTAAATGTTTTTTTTAGCAGTGCTATCATAAGATCCATCAATGCAAATGCCTGAGAGGTAATATTATTGCAAATTATTAAGGGTTCTGGAAAGATGCAATGCTCTTAACCTGGGTAGGGCTCCACCTGGAGTCTCAGTTTCTCCCCATTCCTTCTATAGAGGGATTCCAACTGTGCTGATATGCTTGGTGCATATTCCTCACTCCACTATGGATTATTAGTCACCTGACTAATTAGTGACCTTCTACAATGGAGTAACTGCATCAGTAGACAAGGGAAGAGCTATGGATGTAATCTAACTAGACTTCTGTAAAGCTTTTGATATGGTCACCCACAACATTCTGGCTGCTAAATTGGAGATGTATAGGTTTGACAAATGGACTGTTAGGTGGATAAGGAAGTGGCTGGATAGCCACGTCCAAAGAGTCATACTCAATGGCTCAAAGTCCAAGTGGAAACCAGTAATGAGTGGTGTCCCTCAGCAATCTGTACTGGGATCAATCGTATTTAATGTTTTATCAACATCTTAGACAGTGGGATTTAGTACACCCTCAGCAAGTTTGCAGATGACACCAAGCTGAGTGCAGTTGATTCACTAGAGGGAAGGGATGTCATCCAGAGGGACCTTAACAGCCTTAATGAGTGGGCCCATGTGAACCTCATACAGTTCAGTAAGGCCAAGGGCAAGGTCCTGCACATGAGTGAGGACAGTCCCTGATATTGATGGAGACTGAGGGGTGGATGGATTGAGAGCAGCCCTGTGGAGAAGGGCTTGGGGGTACTGGTGGACTAAAAATTGGACAGGAGCCAGCAATATGCACTTGCAGCTCAAAAAGCCGATTGTATTCTGGACTGCATAAAAAGAATTGTGACCAACAGGTCAAGGGAGGTGATTCTGCTCATATACTTTCATGAGACACATGGAGTAATGAGTCCAAATCTGGAACCCACAGTACAAGACATGGACCTGTTAGAGCAGGTCCGGTGGAGAGCCACAAAAACATTCAGAGGGCTGCAACACCTGTCCTATGAAGAAAGGCTGAGAGAATTGGGGTCATTTAGCTTCAAGAAAGGAAGGCTCTGGGGAGATCTTATTGCAGCCTTTCAATATATAAAGGGAACTTAAAAGTAAGATGAAGAAAGACTTTTTACCAGGGCCTGTAGTGGAAGGACAAGGGGCAATAGGTTTAAAGTGAAAGAGCATAAGTTTAGTTTGAACATAGGAAGAAAAGTTTTACAGTGAGGGTGGCAAAACATTGGAACAGGTTGCCCAGAGAAGCTATGGATACCTCTCCCTGGAAGTGTTCAAGGCCAGGTTGAATGGGGTTTTGAGAAACCTGATCTAGTGAAAGATGTCCTTGCTGTCCCGGTTCAGTTAGGATAGGGTTAAGTTTCCCCAGCAGAGAAGGAGGAAGGGATCTCCAGCCAGGTTATTCATACCATGCTGACGTCAGGTCCGGGTGCTGGAGCGTGGGAACTTTTTCCTTTGTAGCTTGTCGCGGGAAGCACCAGGCTGTCTGTAACCATGGCGGTATTTCTCTGTATATCTTTTGTCTTGTTTACTGGTATTGCTGTTTATTGTTGTCATCATTGCTACTGTTGTTGTTGTTCAGATTGTTTATCACACTGTTTTATTAAATTTCTTCTTATTTTAACCTGGGGTTTGTGCCTCACTGCCAGCCTGACCGGCTGAGGGTGGGGAAGGGGCAATGGCAATGGCAACGGCAACGTGGTCTCTGGTCCCAGCAGGGCTTAAACCACCACACTTGCCCGTGTCAGGAGGTTTGGACTAGATGACCTTTAAATGTCTCTTCCAACCAAACTGGTCTGTGATTTTGTGATTCTATGAAAGAAAGAGTAAGGAAATGCTAATGAATTAATCAATGTTTTCTGATTCCTGCATTATGGAAAACCTTGTCAATCTCGTTCTATTGCTGTCTTAACATTTCTAGAAAACATTCTCAGAATATATATGAAGGACAAAAAGTCCAATTTGTACTGAATGGCATTCTCTTCTCCAAACAGATGAATCCACCTGACAGGTTAAGAAACTGACCTTAGGGTTCTCCAGTGTACAGAGGTAGCACTGTAAAGTTAAGTACTTTGTTTCTCCACAGCTATGGGAAGAAGATAAAGGAATGTCTATTGGGACTTGACAGTGACATAAACAGATTGAGAAAAACTTTGAAGTGAATTATGAAATAGAAGAATTTAAGGAAAATCATGTCTTGGTTGTAGATTCTACTGCAATTTCCATTGCTTATTTGTACCTTCTAGAGCTGTTAGATTT